CAAAAAAAAAGGTGACCCAAACAGAGTTTGGAAATTATCATACAATATCACACATATCACACACAAAAAAAATCCTGAAGATCATCCAGAAATGTCTCTAGTGCAATGGCTTCTTCTAAACCCAGCTTGTATTCCTGGTAGTTCTCTATAGTGTACTGTTCCAGTTATCGCCAATGTCAGATGGATCTTGGCAGAAAGCAGAGTACCAAATGGGTACCTATCTGTGTTTCATTGCCTTTGCAAAGGCAGTTGACTATGTAGATTACAACAAACTGTGGTTAATCTTGAGGCGAATGAGAATCTCAGAAGATTTGATTGTGCTTATACGAAACCTATACTTGGACGAGGAAACAGTCCTCAGAACAGAGCAGGGAAACACAGCATGACTCAATATCAGGAAGGGAATGCATCAGGAACATGTCCTGTCTCCAAACCTTTTCAATCTATATGCAGAACAGATCGTTTGGGAGGCTGGGCTTTATTAGGAGGAATGTGGCATTAGGATTGGAGGTATATTCTTCAACAACCTACATTATGCAGATGACACAACCTTGTTTGCTGAAACTAAGCAGGACCTGAAGCACTTGCCAGAGAAGGTCAAGGACTATAGTCTTCAAAATAGATTGAAATTCAACATAAAGAAGAGAAAGAATCTCACTACCGGGCCAACTGGCTGCACTATGATGGTTGAAGAAGAGATTGAAGCTGTGAACAGTTACAGCTTGTTCGGCTCCACAACCAACAGTCTTGGCACCAGCAGTCAGGAAATCAAAAGATTGAATTAGGTAAATCTGCAGTCAGGGAACTTTTCAGAGTACAGAAAGCAACGATGTCAATCTATAAGACTAAAGTGTGTCTAATCCAGGTCGTGGTCTTTGCAATTACTTGGTATGCATCTGGAGAAGAGTTTTGAACATACCATGGAACGCCAAGAAAACAAATACATCTGTCTTAAAGAGGGTGAAACCAGGTTTCTCCTTGGAGGCTAAGATTCTGAAGCATCTTCTCACATTCTTGGGCATATGGCAAGGAGGGACCAATCCTTGAAGGATAACATCATGCCCCGAAGGGTGGACGGACAGAGCAGCAGAGGAAGATCCCGGATGACATGGAGTGATACAATAACTGGGGATATGGGGTAGGTGTGTCACAGTGAGCCTGGCTCAGGACAAGCCAGACTTCAGAGCTGTTGTACATAGGGTTGCAAGCAATTCAATGGCAGCTAACAACAACAACATTTTATAATGTTAGCATACAAAATTCATACACATTATGTTTAAAGCATCCATCTCTTCACACTGTTTTATTCGCACATTCTCATATATTGGATTTTGGAAAATTAATCACCATTGATCCATGTCCACCATTACTCCACCTTTTTAGCTCCTCATTGGATCTTCCCTAATTCCTTCACTCCCTCCCTCTACCCAATACACTCTGTAACTCCATGATTTCCCCACCTCTCCACCCTAAGCCCCTCCTCTTCCTTCCCTTTCCCCCTTTGGACTTTTGTACACATCTTACTAGTAATCCTTCTATTTTTGCAATAATGGTCTTATGCAGCATTTGTTCTTATGCGACTGAGTAAATTTACTCAACAGAATGATCTCCAGCTTCTCCCATGTTATTTAATTTATTTTTTTTTTAAATCATTGCTCCTGAGTATCCCACTATGTGAATGTAACTTATTTTCTCACTCCATTCACTTGTTCATGGACATCTGGGCTGTTTACATTTTCTTGCTACTGTAACACTGCTATAAACTGGTGTACAAATCACCACCAATGTCTCAGTTCTATTTCCTTGGGGTATATTGCTAGCAATGAAATAGCTAGGTCATATGGAATTTCTATGTTCAGCTTTCCCCCCCCTTTTTTTAATTACACTTCTTTTATTACTATTAATTTTAACAAGCATTTACAGAGACTTTGGATTTCCATTCATTCATTGTTGTACTTTTCTCCCTACCCAACCTCACTCCCAGTTCTCTCTTCTCTAAAAAGTAAAAGAAAAATTCTTTCATTATTATACAATCAATCCCTTCCCCCAAGTCCACTCCACTATGGAGCCTTCCCTCTGGACTCCTGTCATAACAATACCTAATCATATATCCCTTTGAAACAGTTCTCTCCCTCATCTGTTTCAATCTTTCTCAGTCTTCCCCCAAGCCCGATGTCAGTTCTGTTTTACAACAGTAGCACTATACGTCCTTTTGTGACTGAGAAATTTCACTCAGCATAATGTCCTCCAGGGTCACCCATTTTGAATAATATTTCATGAGTTCCTTGTTTTTCAATGCAACATAGTATTCCATTATGTGAATATACCATAGCTTCTCTATCCATTCATTTGTTGATGGGCACTTGGGTTGTTTCCAACTCTTTGCTATTGTAAACAAAGCCACAAATAACATGGGTGTGCCTATATCTGCTTGGGTGGTGGTTACGTTTTCTTTGGGGTATATTCCCAGTAGTGGAATTACTAGGTCAAATGGTATTTCTTTTTGCAACTTTTTGAGAAAGTGCCGTACTGCCTTCCAGAGTAGTTGCACCATTTTCACTCCCACCAACAGAGAATGAGGGTTCCAGTTTCTCCACAACCTCGCCAGTATTTGATGTTTGCTGTTCTGTTAAATTTTGCTCTTCTTAGTGGAGTGAGATGATATCTCACAGTTGTTTTTACATTCGGGGGGTGGTGTGTGTGTACCATCAAATCGGATGTGACTGGTACTGGAGGAGATTGTCCCTCCTTCTCCAGCTTAGCATACGGTTGATTCGAACCGCACACCTCTGGGATTGCAATTCAACTTCTTGACACCAATCCACCAAAGCTCTCCCACATTCAGCTTTTGAGGAAAGATCAAATTGCCATTCAGAGTGGTTGTACCATTTTACAATCTCACCAACAGTGTATGAGAGTTTCAATCTTTCCACACTGTCATCAACATTTATTGGTTAGTATTCTATCAAACTGTGCCACTGCTACTGGGGTTAGATGGCATCTCGTTGTTATTTTTTTTTTTTATGTGCATCTCTCTGATTGCCTGTAATTTTGAGCATTTCTTCATGTGTCTGTTGGTCACTTGAATGTCTTCCTCTGTAAAAAGTCTTTCCCTACCTTTAGTCCATTTTGCCCTTTCCCTTGTGTGGACCCTGTACTATTGCATAAATTTTCATTATGAGACTCTTTATTTTAGATGGCATTGCCCAAAGATATTTCCCACTCAGTAGGTATTCTTTTCACCCTATTAGTAAAAGTTTCTGATGCACACAGGCACTTAATCTTTAGAAGATCCCATTCCTTGATGTTATCCTCTCCTGGTTGCGCATTTCTCACTTTATCTTTCAGCCTCTTCATACCACAGGCTAGGCCTTCTAAGTCTTATCCCATTTTGTCTCTTATTATCTTTATGGTTTTGGGTTTTATATCTAGGGCTCTGATATATCTGCAGTTGACTCTGTTGTATGGTGTGAAAAGTGGAATAGCCTTCTGCAGGCAGATGTTCCATTTTGGCAGTGATGTCTGTTGAAGCGGCTGTCCTTTCTCCATTTGATAAGTTTTGTTTCACTGTCAAACATCAGGTGACCATGGGGAGATGGGTTAATTTCTGAGTTCTCAGTTCTGTTCCATTGGTCTGTGTGCCTGTTATTGTACCACTACCATGCTGTTTTGGTTATTACCACTGTATAGTAGGTTTTGAGGTCAAGGAGTGCTATGCCTCCCACTTCATTTATGTTTTCAGAAGTGCTTATTCGAGGTCTCTTTCTCCTCCAAATAAATTTGTCAATTGCCTTTCTATCTCTTTGAAAAAAATAACTTGGAATCTGTATTGGAATTCTGTTAAACATGTAGATTGTTTTTGGTAGCTTTGTCATTTTCACTATACTGAGTCTTCCTATCCATGAAGAGGGAACATTTTTCCATTTATTTAGTTCTTTTATAGTTTTTTTACAGTAGTGTTTTGTAGTTTTCTCTTTTTCATTTTTTTTATTTCTTCTATAACCCAATCATGTTCTAGAAGGGTGTTATTTAGCTTTCACAGGTGATTTTGTAAGCTTTATCTTTTTGTAGTTAAGCTTTACCCTTTTGCTAGTTTTAAGGCATTGTGGTCTATGAAGATATTTGCATTATTTCAATGTTTCTAAATTTGTTGAGGATTTCTCTGTGTCCTAATATGTGATCAATTCTGGAGAATGTACCCTGTGCACTTGAGAAGAAAGTGAATTGGTTTTTGGTTCGCCGGAGTACCCTGCTACATTGGTACAAGACCAAATTGAATGATTCTATAGTTTAGATCTTCTGCATTTTTAAGTTTCTTCAGAGCCAACCTATCCTTTGGTGTATTAAAGTTTCCTACCACTATTGTTGTGCTTCTTCTTTCTTCAAATGTATTTTTTTACATATTTTCAGGTCTATCATTTGGTGGCCAAGTTCACCTTTCTTAAGGTCCTTCAACTACTCTTTGGACTGTAGTGCAGCCTTCCAGGAGTCTCACCACAGGCAACTTCACACTCTTTCTCTGATGCAGGGTCAAGGGACTGGGCCCTACCTCTCAGTTCTCCTGCGCCCTTACAATGTTGGTGCACCTTCTCAGTTCTCCTTAGTAGCTTGGTGGGAATCTCTTCACCCTGTGCCCACCTCTTCTAAAGCTTGAAATCGTCCTTTGTGGTGCAGCTGAGCACAGCAGCCAGAGAACACCTTCCCAGAGGAAGCAGCTCTGTTCTCTATCTGGTATGGGCTTAAGGGAACTTGCCGGAACTCTATCCTGCTGCCTTCATTTGTTCACATTTTAACCTCAATACCTACTACACAGTAAGAATACTGTAAACATTCATTGAATGAAAGAAAAAAGATATCCAGATATAAAGAGTCTATATTTTAACAAATATAAGCCAAATTAATGATGCTATGCTTTCAAACAATATTTTTACATAAAATGTACATTTATAACTATAAAGTGAAAGGAGTTCTTAAAAAAAAAGAATTGTAAAATATCTTACCTAGAGACAAATTCATTCAATTCTGGATACTCTTTGGGTTCCATTATTATATTCAGGTCAGTAATTACAGAAGATAACTCTTTATGATTCTAAAATAAAGAAAATATAATGTATCTGGGTATAATAAAATTTTTTAAATAACATAAATACTTCAAAATATAAAAAAGTAAGTACAATTAAGTAAAACAAAAGAAATGGCTTGCTAAATCAATAACTAATACCAAAAATGTTAAATATTTGGAAAAGATAAATTCTTACTCCATACTAAAAAATAAAATGAACTTCAAATTAAGCACCTAAATGTAATTGTTGAAACTATAAACAACTTGTAGAAATATAGAAAAACACTGCAATCAGTAAATCTGATTACATATAAAATTCAAAGAATCCATGTAAAAAGACTTTCAAATTAGAAATGGAATATATTCAGAAAAATATTCTTTGTAACCATGGAAAAGAAAACGACAAAAAAACCCCAAAAACTTCACAGTCAATTAAGTAAAAAGTAAACATGTAAGTGTAAACAAAAATAACAATATTGTTAGTGGTAAAATGACCAAGATTAAAGAATATCAAGGAGTATTTATAGTCACATTTGTCAGTGGAAGAATAAATTGGTATTTCTTCTGAAAAGGATTTTGGCAATATATGAGTCAAAACCTTCATATTCTTAATTGTAACAACATGAGTTCAAGAAATCTATCTTAAATTAACAAGAAATGAAAACAAAGACATTAAAAAAGATAGGTCATAACAACTATGAGATATAATCTCACCCCAGTAAGAATAGCAAAATTTAACAGAACAGCAAACAACAAATGCTGGTGAGATTGTGGAGAAACTGGAACTCTTATTCACTGTTGGTGGGAGTGCAAAATGGTGCAACCACTGTGGAAGGCTGTGTGGCACTTTCTCAAAAAGTTGCAAATATAGATACCATTTGACCCAGTAATCCCACTACTGGGAATATACCCCCAAAAGACGGTAACTGCCACCCAAGCAGATATATGCACATCCATGTTTATCGCAGCTTTGTTCACAATAGCGAAGAGTTGGAAACAACCTAAGTGCCCATCAACAAACGAATGGATAGAGCAGCTGTGGTATAGGCACACAATGGAATACTATGGAACTCATGAAATATTATTCAAAATGGGTGACCCTGGAGGACATTATGCTGAGTGAAATATCTCAGTCACAAAAAGGACAAATACTGCATAGTGCCACTGTTGTAAAACAGGACTGACATCGGGGTTGGGGGAGATAGATGAGGGAGAGAGCTGTTTAAAAGGGATATGTGATTAGGTATTATTGTCATGACAGAAGTCCAGAACAAAGGCTGCACAGTGGAGTGGAGTGGACCTGGGGGGAGAGATTGTAAGACATTGAAAGAATTTTTCTTTTACTTTTCAAAGAGAAGAGTGCACTGGGGTGGTGGGAGGCAGGAAGAAAAGTGCAACAATGAATGAATGGAAATACAAAGTCTCTGTAAATTTTCATTAAAATTAATAATAATTAAAAAATTTAAAAAATAAAAAAGACAGTCATCATAATACTACTTATAGAAATCTAAAACAATCTATAGCGAATAAGAATAAAAGTACTGTTAGCATTGTGATTGAATCATTACTCATAATATACATCTAAAACTATCTGTAACCAGTAATGAGAAATAAGTGTACAGCTAGCATTGCAAAAGTTACATAGGTTCACAAAGAACTCGGTATAGATTTCAGTATTTCCCCAAAATTTCATCATCTATTTATCTTTGGCAAAGATTCTGAAACTCTATGTCACTCATTTTGGGCATGTTACAGGGAGGGACCAGTCCTTAGAGACGGATATCATGCTTGGGAGGGTGGAGGGACAGTGCAAGAGAGGAAGACCCTGGATGAGACGGATTGATTCAATGACTGGGGTTATGGGGGTAGGTGTGTGGGAGACAATGATATTGGCTCAAGATATAGCAGGGTCCACAGCTATTCCATTACTTGGAATATATCCTGAGAAAACAAGAACTGAGGCAAAAACTGAGATTTGTACATCAGTGTTCATAGCAGCTTATCAGATTGCAACAACATGGAAACAGCCCAAATGTCCAACCACAAACGAATGGATTGAGAAATTATGGTAGATTCACACAATGGAATATCATGCAGCACACAAGATCAATGATTTTGTAAATTATTACTTAACTTGGGAGGGACTGGACAGCATTATGCTGAGTGAACTAACTCTGTCCCACAAGGTTAAATATTGTATAAAACTATTATTATAGAATGAGTAAAAGGATCCAAAAGGGGTGAGTGAGGTTGGAAGAAGAGGGATGAGCATGTGCAGGAAAGGGGAGAGGTTAATCATGGAATTGTACAATTTGATGGGTGGGGTGAGGGAAACAGAATTTTTTCTTGAAAACAAGGTATTTGAATTTTGTAAATAAACTAGTAGAAAAAGGGAAAAAATATAGAGCAGGGTTCAGAGCTGTGGTACACAGGTCACTATGAATCACAAGCAATTCAATGGCACACCACAATAACATGTATCTTGGTAAAGAATATTATCAGTCTTCATTCAAAATTTCCCAATTTTAGAATGGTGAATGCAGTATCTAAAAAAGAGAATAATAAAATCAGAGAGAAAATATAAGAAACAGAGTTCTGTCTCTAAACCCCATTAACAAAAGCAGAAGCACAAACAAACATCAAATCCTCCGAGTATTAATTTCCCTGTAAAATAAAAGACTTAATATAGATAGTAAATGAAGTCACTCTGGGTGCTTTCTATTTAATTTTTACTGAAACAATATGCTGAAAAGTAAGTTTTAATCTTTAGATTGCTTTTCATTTTCTGACAATTAAATGTCTCCCTCTAGTGAAAATTTTCCTTTAATATTTTTATCTTTCTGACCAAAAGGAACTCTTCCAAAGATCTGGGCCTAAAAATATTTTTTTACAATTTCATTTTACTATAATTTGAATAAAGGTTTACAAAGCAAATTTTCATTCAACCAATCATATGTATTTTGTTCTACAACATTAATTTCAACATCTACAATGTAACTTTCCATATTCTTTTCAATAATTCTGATTCCCATTAATCTTTCTATACCTCTCTGCACTTTTCCTTTGTTTAATGATACTGGGGGATCACCCCATTGTCTTTCTTTTTTTTTTTTTTTTTT